AAAATCGCTAATTAATATTAAAAAATAAATAAATAATAAATTAAAAAAATAAATAAATGAAAAAATTAAATTAAAGCGACTTACCGCTATAGTCACTAATCACTAATTCTACAATTTCTAACTGATCCTGAAATATAGAAATTTAAAAATTAATAATTATAATTTACACACATTGACACTTTCCTCTTTCATTTCGCCTTACCACTCCACTGCCTCCACTGCCTTTTACTTATCCCACTGCCTCCACTGCCCCCTCACTGCTTCAATTTCCCCCATCACACTACTCACTTAATTAAATACAAATCCTAAAATAAATTAAAAATATATTAACAAATAACAAAAAAAGAGAAATAAAAAAAAAATATTTACTTATCACAGCTGAAGTTGGTAAACTTACTTTCTTCAGTTCTAAAGAAAGAAATTTATAATGGTATATTAGCAAAAAAGATTATCAATTTATTAATTGATAATCAATTCAAAATCTGAATTCAGATCTGAATCTAATTCGAATTTGATGGATCAGATCTAAATCTGAATCTAAATCTGAATCTGACAGATCTGATCTGATCTGAATCTGAATCTGAATTAGATTCAAATCTGATAGATCTGATCTGAATCCATGTAAAACACTACTCACCATTAAGGGAAAGGCGAAATACTGTGCTAAGGCTAGTGATTTTATAGATATTATCGCTAATCATTAGGCAGTAGGTCCGAAAAATAAAGATGAAAAGGAAATCATTGCTAGTGTCTTGCACTAGTCAATATTCTGTATGAAATTAGCAGAAGGTGATATAGATCTTGCAATTATTGAAGAATTTGGCAAAGATAAGAAACTTATTTAAGATTCTAATAAAATTCAGAAAGAACAAACTAAAAAGCGAATAGCTGATCTGGACTAAATTCCTATATATTTTTCCTTAGCAAATGTGAGTAAAAGAATTTAGAATATAGATATTTCCAAAATTTCTACTAGAGAGAATCTTGCGGATGTGATAGTAATTTTGAGTATGAAACCTGCAGAAGTGGAATCTCTTTAGATCAATATCTATAAACTGGACTCTTTAAACATTCTATCATAGTATAAAGAGGACTATTTTTGGTATTGTATTGGCTATTTAAAGAATAGAGGAGAAAAGAAGAAGAATCTTGATCTTTGACCATTTCTTTTTATGAAAAAGAATCCAGAACGCGCAAGAGAATTACTTATCTAGATTCAAAATGCAATTAAGACTAAAAGTTATCTGACCCTGTCTTTACTGAAAGTGAAACACGTAATGCTTGCCCATTTAATAAATTCTTAAAGCAAAAACCTTATAAAACTATACCTAAAAAATTAAGAGATTATGGAAGTAAACACACTTCCAGAATTCATAATGGTAAGAACCCAACTCCCCAGCATCTTAAACTGCTTTCGAGAATTGTATTAAGATAAGAATCTGATCACCTTAATGTAAATGATAATTATGCTATAGGTGATACAGAATCAGAAGACTCTAATCTTGAAGATGAGCACAACTTAGACCCAAAATCGGAGTCTGCAGAAAATGATAAAATTTCTGATATTATCAATATATATAGCTACTAACAATGCACCTTTGGTAAATTTGCTAGATCCATTACTAATATGCGTAATTTTATTTTTTGTTAAATATATAGCATATGTTATTATGACACATAGTATAATTAGTCTATTAGCAAAATGTCAGATGACGAAACGGATGAGACCTATAATGAATTTATCAAAGAATTTGGATTGAAATATAAATGGAATAATGTAAGGAATTCTGATGAGTGAAGATACTGAAATGATTTTTTTTGCATAATCAAAACCTATTAGGAGACAAAGGTGATCAGATATTGAAGAAAGAAAGCGCTTAAGCAATTTGTATTTGCTTTGCCTAGTATAAAAAATCCAATATCATTATTTCATGTATTCCTACAATCTGATGCCTTTTATCTTTTGCTAAGTCTAATAAAATTGCCATATTATTCGCATGAACTTCGAGAGAAAATATGACCAGATGATATTGAGAAGTTCTGATATAGATTGTTTATTCAAGATGAAGAATCAATAGTGGATTACTGTTTAAAGGCGAAGAAATATAATGATATTATCAAACTCTGTAAAGATCATTTTAAAAGTGAATTTTATAGTGGATTAACGTAAGAAAATATGAGACATATTGCAAAAAATGATTATTATTGTGAATTGGTAGAAATGCTTATTTAGGCGAAAAAAGAATCAGTGACTGGTATTATAACTGGAATTAAAGATTATATCAGTCAGTCTGACATTGCTAATCTGAATAAGATGCAATACTTATTGAAAAGGCATACATTGGATAACCAACCTAAGCGAAAGTAGTTCAGAGCAGTGATCATCAGCTTAGAAGATTTTTTGTATTATAAACAGATTACATAAAATTTTTTTGGCATTTTTCTAAGACCGTGCGGTTCAGAAATCTGGTAACTTTATAAATATTCCATTTCTTGTATAAAATTTATCAATCATGAGATCTGAGCTTGAAGTATTGAAACAGCATATCACTGAACTTGAGGCTGAGAATACAGAGTTTAGGAAGGAGAATACTGAGATTCCCTATTTTAAAAACAAATTTAGTATCTGATGCTAAAATAGCTGAACTTAAGCGTAGAAATGCTGAGATTCTAAGAGCAAATAGAAAATATAATGAGATGCGTGATGCTGAAAAAGCCAAACTCAAGGCCAGAATCGAGGAGTTAGAATCTGAGTTTAGATATAGAATTACAGAAGTGAAATAGAAACAGACTCTAAATGATAATTCTTTTAACAATAGTTTACCTAGCTTTAATTCAGTTGCAGTATCAGAGGTGATAATGGTATCTACTAACTCTGCAAAGTGCTTTAATAGCAAATAGTTGGAAGAGAAAGAGATGGATAATTTCTTGCTTGAGGCTTATAAGAAAATTGTTAGTAGTGAAATAAAGCAACGTAATAAGGAAAAGAAATTTCTATATGAGTCAGCTAAAAATCAAGTCCAGAATATTACTTCTGATGATATAGAAACTATTAACAATTCAAAATTATCATATGATAAAAAAACCATTATCATTGGTAACAATCAAGATTCGAAATTATTATGTGACAAAAAAACTATTACCAATGGTAACGATCAAGATTTGGAATTATCTCTTAGCACAGATGATGATATCTTTGTTTCACTTTTATTAATTAATGAAAGGGTAGACATTAGAGTGATCTAGGACAACTTATCATATGATATAAAAATGATCTCTTATACTGATAGTGAGGATATTCCATCTGATAAAATGTCTAGGCCAATTGCTATACAACCGCTTGATAGAAATCAACTCACTGAACAAATTTTAAAGCATGATCTTTCTAGACCTATTTCTTCAGTGACATCAGTTAAACTACATGACGAGTCTATCTTAAATAACGCAATTGAGGGCTCTATGCAGAGATTAGCTTATTGAATTAGTGAGACTATAAAATAGATTTAAAAGAAATTTTATACTTGTATTATTATTCCTTTGAGTTTGAAGAAAAAGTAAAAAATATTATAGCTGATAGCAAGACTAAAGATAAGATAGCAAGATCGATGATGTATAAAGAAATGTTGCAGTATTTACCTAATGTCACTTTGGGTAATTTGCGAATATAAACACATAGAGCTAAAAATATTCTTATGCTATTTGGAAAAAAAGGGGTTGGAATCGATAGAATTAAGTTAGTCACTTATAGCGCAAGTGATATTTCTAGATTAAACAATACTCAAATTCAAAACATTATAGATCCCAATACTGAACAACATTCCCTTCTATGACCTTGTTTTTACTTTCAATAACGTACCTATTGAAATATCTATTAGAGGTTTTTTCAAACAACTTTTTTCTGCTAAGATTTTTTGCAACTTTCTTGACCTAAACAGAAACGATCACATCAGACGTCTTACCAGAAACCACTCTATCAACTGGTCTGCTATTTGGTCCTTATTCTTTCTAAACTCATCTTCACTCACTACTTCTTTTGCTTCTTGTAAACTCAAGACCTTTATCATAAAAAATTTTGTTAACGAACTACCAACTCTATTAAAATAATTTATACTAAGACCTGATTTATATGAACATTGGTGTTGTATAGACTGTGGACTGGATACAGAAATTTCTGAATATTTCTGAATCTACTTTGCCTATACCACAAAATTACAAAATATTATACAAATAACCAAAGATGATTTAATTTATTGCCTTACAGAATCGAATGTCTCTAAACTTACTGAATTTCTTTCAGAACTACTAGACATTCTAAATGACATCCTTGCCATCCTCTCATCTAGAACTGATTGTTATATAGATATTATTTGCTCTCTTATTTCTTCTTCTTTAATAAATATAGTTCACAAAATCACTAGGAATAAGGGTCAATGTTTCTCAATCATCACTCAATCTTTAATAGTTTTTCAATATAAATTATTTGAAGATATTTGGAAACACTATTGTAATCTAATGGTAGTAAAAGAACGTTCATTAGGTATTACTATCAAAGATAAGACTAAACGAGATGTTAGTTCATTCTTGAGATACGAAGAGACATCAAGTCCTATATACAATTGGGAATCTTAGATACACATGGTGAATAAATTTGACTACACCTTTATGGATTTTTAGATAGGTACTGACTCTTTCTTTTTCTTCTCTTGTTGATAGCAATTTTCATTAGGTATAATCTTAGTGGATTTGTTGAAAGGGGAAGACGATGATCGGTTGATTCAAACGGGTTTATAATATAACTATGGGGAATAGCTAGTACTTAGTCTAGATTTATTTGATTTACTTTGTATTTCTTTTTATATAAATTTAATAAAGTTATTGGCAGTGCCACATCGTAAAAAAAAATATTAAATTATGTAAATGATCGGGTTTATGTAATTTTGAAAACTGTTACCAATAGTAATGATCAGAGTTATATGACTTTAGCAGAAATGATTTCATCAGTCACACCTTAAACAAGTAGGACTAGTCTAACCTATGACTGCATATATTTTCGTAATAAGATATTGGATCAATATCCTAATCTATATAGAGAATTTAGTAGTGAAAATTTTGATTATTATGGGATTACTGATGAGACATTATGCCTATTATGTAAATTAGGTCATGGCAATAAAGAAAGCATAGAAGGTAGATATAAAACTGGATCCTATTTTATTAAATATGAACAGCGTGAAATTGAGATAACTGTATAATTTCATTATTTTATAATACGATATTTGCTCATGCTTCATATATTTTTTTAGGGTTAATTTATGTCAATTAAATTGATTTGCAATCATATAAAAAGATAACATGACCAAGTCTGATAAAATATTAACTTCCAAATATTTAGATTGGTATGCTAAATTAAATAGTTTACCGAGTATATTGACAAATAAGATTCATTCCAATTTATACAAAAAATATAAAAAAGAAACTGGACATGAGCCATGGCAATTAATAAAAGCTGTGATAGTGTCAACAAAACTTCAAAATTCTGATTTTATACCTATCATTTTTGAAGTTAAATCTGATTCAGAATTAATTATCAAGTCCATCTTAAAGCATTTTACATACCTGAAATTCTGAAATAGTTTCAGAGGGATTGATAATTATAATTTTACATCATTTCAGCCGTGAAGCTCGCCATATCCTATTTGTGATAAAAAATATGGAAATTATGAATTACATGGTGAATAGTATAGAAATGGAATAGAATATTATCTTACTTGCTTTACTTCAAGCAATAAACTCAAGTTCGCAATCGTAGCCACGTGATGGCATTGTTGCAAATGACAGATCAATAGTAAAAGGTATTATTCCGCAGTATGAACAAAAATATGTATTTTTTTATTTATAATCAATAAAGCTAAGACACATTAAGCGCAATATATTTATATGTCAATTTTTAGTATGTGTTGAGAAGAGGGTGAGATTATGTTTATATGTTAATATTTCTCAATCAGTTTTTATCTGTGGATCGATACTTGCAGTATCATTTAAAAAATATCATCATGTATCACAGGAACAAGTCATTACCACTATAATTTATTCTCAAAACTTCCCGCATATACTCAAGCTTTTACATGTATTAATAATAAAAAAGATCTTCTTGTTGATCCAGAAACACGATTCCAATGTCTATTATAATTTTAAGGAGTATTTGTTGATTTGATTTTTGTGATGAATCATAATAACATAATTTTCCTCCAAAGATTTATTCCAAAAATCAATCCTTAAATGCACTACAAATCTTATAAAAAGGTGAGGCTTTATTTAGTGAATCCTTTTATTCACCTTGTGCAAGTACAGCAAAAAAAGGATTAAAACAAATATTCAACTTATCACTATTAACATCAATAATATCAATAATCAATTAAATAAGTATATTCTGCAAAGTAATAACAAAGTTAGTTCATTTGATTTCTTGGCTTGATTCTAAAAAATCGCTAATCATTTTTTTCTGGCTCTATAGATGCTCAAAGATAAAGCGGACATATTACTTTTCTTAATTCTTTCCGCACATTTGATATTCGCTGAGAAAATTGTGATCATTATCATATGTTTAATCAGCGCAGTATTAATTTCTGTCACCAAATTTTCATTACATGTTGATATACAGTGCGCAGTATATCAAATAAAATTTTTCAGTAATAGCATCTTCAGATGCTGAATTATTGACGTTGTTAACATTACTCTTTCTGTCGAATAAGTTAACTATGATTTGAAGTCAGGAAGGTAATAACTATAACTTAAATTCAATTAACTTGACATGCTGTTTATTAGAGAGTTTATTTAGTTAATAAGAATAAATTATAAGTTTTATGTTTGCAAATGTTAAATGTGTTTATTATTGTTATTAAATGTATATCGAATACAATGTTAAGAACTTGTTAGAATCTTGTTAAAATCTGTTCTTTTTCTAAGATATTTTCATGCCCTTTATATAGAAAAATTACAATTAAGAAAATCTATGGTAAATATGATACTACTGACAATAATAATAGAGCTAACAGATATGCTAATTATATTAAATATATTATAAATGATAATAAGAATATAAATAATAGAAATATAATAAATAGTATATATGTCCTATTTGGTAGATATGGCAGATTTAGCAGATTTGGCATATATGTTATATTTGATAGGTTCATCAATTTTTTCTGGTTTCAACATTTGGCATAGTATTGAACTGACGATAAAAAAATCGAAATATCTTTATTTAATTTCAGCCTAATAAATTATAAAAGAAATTTGTTAATGTTTAAACACATCGTATCATTGGAATTGAATAATATATTAAGCTACAAATTTATTGGTTATGAGGCAGTATGGAATATTATAAAATTGAAGTGTACTGGTAAGTGTGAAATTAGATACCTCATTTTTTTATCTCGTTACTAACTTTCAGAATTCTTCATATAGTTTCGAAATTATTTCATTTCTGAGAAGTTCTCTTGTGAAATTTAGCTTTCTATATAATTTATGTAGGTGGGAGTGATATAGATAGACAAAAATTATGTAGATGTGTGTGGGAAAATTTATTTCAAAAATCTAGTGTAGAAAAGAGTATAGGGAGAAGAATATTAGAAATGTTAGCAATAGAAACAAATTAGTTATAGATATTTTTCGTAAATATGAGAAAGCAAAGAAATAATTTGATGCTAGAACTCGCATTAAATGGCCTAGGATCTGCGTACTCCCTTCCTCTTTAATAGCATCATATTTAAAATTAATAATTAATAATTTTCATCTTATTTGGTCTGGGGATCGTATCAGCTTATCAAAAAATGGGATACTTATAAAAATGGAAAATGTGAAGGGTATGATGCATGGTGACTAAAGCTTACAGATTTGTGCATTTGCATAATTTCACATTTATACACTATAATTTCGCATCACACATGCATTGCACTTTTAAGGCAATTTATCGGTTTTTTGCATTTTTCACGTGATCTATTATGTATTGACCATTTAAAGAATAAATATTAATTGATTGATTATCATGATTATCTATATATTTTTTTTAAAATGGTTTCAGCATCAGAGAGATTATCAAAAAATTCTCAATTTAAAATTCATTTTCGTTTAGAAAATAAAAAATTATATTGTAAATTTTGTAATCATGTAGTTAATCATGAACGTAAGTCTGTTATCAAAGCTCATATAAATTTACTAACTCATTTAAAAAAGAAAGAGAAGTTGATGAGGGTACTGAAGCTTTACAAATAACTATTCTAAATATTTATCAAATTAGATTAGAAAAACAAGAAATAAATTTACATCTTGTTGAAGCATTCACTAAAGCTGATATCCCACTTGAAAAGATTGATAAACTTAAACCTTTTTTTATAAAATATTATAATAATGGTAAGATTTTTCATCTATATTTTATATTTATAATTTTTTTTTGTTTTAAATATTTATATTAACATCAAAAGTTAAAATTAAAGGTGGAACTGTTGTTAATGCAAATCATTTACACAAAAGATATCTTCTAGCTGTTTTTAAATCAGCAAAAAATATATTAATGAATGAATTAGCTAATCAAAGAATTTCTGTAACTATGGATGAAACAACAGATAGTTGTGGAAGAAGTGTTCTTAATGTATTATTTAGTTATCAAAATAAAACTAAATTAGTAAATACCCTTTTTTTAGAAACTGTTAACAATACAACAATTGCACAAGCTTTTGTTAATAATATTCATTCTTACAATATTCCTTTTACCAATTTAATATTTTTTATTAGTGATAATGCATCATATATGAAAAAAGCTTATACCAATATCTTATTTCCATTAATATCACACTTATTTCATAACACATATTTTGCTCATATTTATAATCTTGTTGGTGAAACTTGGGTGGATTTTGAACACTTTAAATTATTAGATGTTGTAGTTAAATATATTAAAACATTATTTGTATACTCAGCAGTAAGAAAAAGAAAATGGAGAGAACATTTAATTTTAAAATCTGTTCTTTTAAATACAAATGAAAGTTTATTTGATGAAAAAAGTACACAAGATTTATTTGTTAATTTACCTCCTTTACCTATCAAGACTAGATGGAATTCTTGGTTTAAATTTTTAATTTAGATGAAAAATTATTATCAATATATGGTTACATTTTTTATTGAAGAATCTGTAGAAAAAAATTCTAATGCTATTAAAGAATTAAAAGAGATTTTTCAAAATCAAAGTCAAAGTTTTTATATAGATATTTTAATTAAATTTATTTCATTTAATGCACAAAGGTAAATATTAAAAATATTTTTTATTATTTTATTATTAATAAAATATAAAAATTAAAGTTTTAATATTTTTTAGATTAGTATTGGATCTTGAATTTTTTAAAATAAGAAATTTGGTTGTTGTTCCTTTTGTTTTTTTAAGAATTGAACAAACAAGAGCATTTTTGCAAAATGGAATAAATAACCCACCAATTAGTGTAGAAATGACACAACTATTATCTCAGAATTATCAAAATTATGAATATCTTAATCCAATTTTTTCTGAAGCTTTTAAATTAGTATTAAAAAAATTTGAAAAACATATAGATTCTCATTCTGCTTTACCATTATTCAATGCAATTCAATGTTTTAACCCTCAATTTATTCAATCATCTCAAAATAGACATATTTTAACTAATTATAATCTAATTCCAGAATTTCAAAATCCTTCTAATTCTATTATAACTGAATGGGCAATTTATTGTGGTTTGGTAGAAATTTTGAGGAGTGTGATTTGAATTTAAATCAATATTGGCAAGAAAAAAAAAGAATTTTTCCAAATTTATCAAGTATTGCATTAGTTTATATATGGTTACCTATTTCAGGAGTTGATGTTGAACGTAGTTTTTCTAATTATAAAAGAATTTTAGATGATAGACGTAGATCACTTTCAGAAAATTCTATTGAAATGTTAAATTTTTTATATTATAATAACCAATAAAATAATAAAGTATATTTTTACTATATAAAAAATTTTATTTGCATATTTTGCATTTTTGGTAATATTAAAATGCACATTTTTTATTTTTGCATTGCGCGAAACCGTGGGCTCTAATGGTGACAAATATTTTACTATGATCACGTGGGGTGAAATTTTTGGTGGGAAGATGGATATATCAAATTAATTTTGTGGCTTAGTCCATTACTGGTTAGTCGTTTTATTTATATACTGTGTACGATCCTAATATACCGTAAGCAAAACGTAAAAATGCAATTGATTTCCGCATGTCTCAATGCTCTTAAATATCGTGGTAAGACAGCCATACTAGCCTTTTCTTATAATAATGTCTGCGTAACCTGCCTTTTGCAAAAATGTGTAGCCCTTTGGGAGTCCACGGATGAGCCTTCACTAAAAGCGTTCTTAGAGTTCCGATTAAAGACAAACGATTTGAAAGACAAGGATACAGAACACCGTAGATATAAAATTGAATTGGAAATCATTAAACATCACCATGATAAAAATTCTGAAATCGGGGCAAAGTAAGTATACTCATTGATTCGATATGTGCGACACTAACTACCATGCTGGTTGCGACTGGTATCGGGAAAGGTTGCGACTTGTTGGTGCGCACATCATAAAGTATTGTTCTACATTATCAACTACCATGCTGGTTGTGACTGGTGATGGGAAAGGTTGCAACTTGTTGATGAGAGTATGTAGACACTTCAACGGACTACCATGCTGGTTGCGACTGGTATCGGGAAAGGTTGCGACTTGTCCGTGATTTGCCTACGTTTTTCTTTAGAATAAAGTTACCATTCTTTTCTAACTTAAAAATAATTTTATAAGAATGATAAATTATCGGATCAGGTAAACTATTTTTGGGACCTTCAAGTGAAAAGAAAAAATACTCTAGCGGAGATCAATTTGTTTTGCATGAGAAGCGAGTTAAATGAGAAGAAACAAGTAAGCTATCTAATATTTTCGAAAATTGGCTTTATGCATTGACAGCACTTTCTAACTATATCTGACGAAGGACGATCTGAGAGACCAAATCTGTATTGAACAGGTTAGTACGTTGACTCGACATTTAATTACACATATCTTGATGTTGCATACTGAAAAGGTTCATTTTTAGACCCGACATGTTCTAGACGCGACAAGAGAAACCCGGTCTCAAAGTACCTTACTACAAAAAACGATCACCAAAAGGCGCTTGTTGAATGAGTCTCATGAGCGAACCTATAATGAGGAAGGACAGTCAGGAAAAAATGTAATGACCATCTTTTCAAAGTCCATTACATGAATATGATGAATTTGAAGGCTATACTAAAGACCTGTGGAATTAATTATCTTGTTTTTAGGATGACCAGACTAATCGAGATTCTCACATAAAAAGGGCAAAAAAAATTGACGATTTTTTCTCTGTGCTACCTCATCCCTCTCAAAATCAACAACCACGCACCCCTCCCTATCAAATATATTCATTAAGCGCCTCTATGTCCCCTTGGAACAAAGAGGTAATTATGCTCTAACTCGCAATGATGTCTTATAAAAGCCTTTTTTTTACATTTACGTAACACAAGGATAAACTACTACAGTGTGATAACGAGGGATCATATGGTCAATCCCCTCCTTATAATAGTACTGAATCACATAAAGATGCTTCAGATGATTTGGAAGAAATTGATAC